CCTATCTGGTGGCACATTAGATTGCACGCGCCCAGGGGGGGCATAATTGTAATGACATCCATGCTTGGTACCTTTTTGACAGTGTCATGAAAGGGAAGGGGCATAGCCATTATCACATAAAACCAGGGTGAATAGCGTTTTCACAACTATGGTGTCAGGAATATATGTTTGTATTCCTGACACTATAGTGTTCCTTTAAGCAAATTAAAGGACCATTCTGGTCACCATAACAACATCACCTAAATGAAAATGTTATGATGCCAGGAAGCCCCTGGGTGCTCGCTTTCCTTTAAGGGGTTAAATAATTTTCAAATGGTTTAACCCCAAAGGCTTCCTCCAGCTCCAGGTCGCTCAGTGGTATTTGGCTTCTGAAACAGAGTGTCAGGAAGTGCAGATTGACGTCAGGCATGGGTGCCGCTAATTGGCTAGAGTGGACAGTTGACGCTCTAAGCCAATCTCTAGTTCCCGGTTCATAAAATATTTGTACTTTTTTTATGAATGGGGAGCTACTGATTGGCTTAGAGTGCCAGCTGACCGCTCTAGCCAATCAGCAACACCCCTACCCAACGGCACTCTGTGCTTCCTGACACTCAGTAAATAAAAGTGAACACATTAATACTGATATTTTTTTACCTTTGGAGATGAGAAGGTCCAGCGTTTCCCTGCCTGGCCCAGGTACCAAAGCCTTATGATGTGGTGTCCAGAATAAAGTGGAGGTTCACTTCATTTGTCCTTCCTGCTCCAATCTCCTTTTCCTCTCCTTCATTTGACAGTCTTTTTTTTTTTCTTCTGACACTGTTTTCTATCCTTGGCCCCTTCTGCTCTTTTACCTTTCTGCTACTTTCTGCTTATTTTGCGCCCTTCTGCTCCTTTCTCATTCTGATCCCTTTCTGCTCCCTTTTCTACTTTATCTTTGTGCTCCTTGCTGTCCCTTTCTGCTCCTTCTCCTACTTTACCTTTGTGCTCCTTCTGATTCTTTCTGCTCCTTTACCTTTGTGCTCCTTCCTGCTCCTTGCAGGCCCTTCCTGCTCCTTCTCTTATTTTACCTTTGTGCTCCTTCTGCCCCTTCCAGCTCATTTCTGACCCTTTCTGCTCCTTCTACTTTACCTTTGTGCTGCTTTACCTTCCAGCTCCTTGCTGACCCTTCCTGTTCATTTCTGTTCCTTTGTGCTCCTTCTCCTACTTTACCTTTTGTGCTCCTTGCTGTCCCTTCCAGCAACTTGCTGCCCCTTTCTGCTCCTTGATGTCCCTTCCTGCTCATTTCTGTTCCTTCTCCTTTTCTTACTTTACCTTCCTGCTCCTTGCTGACTCTTCATGTAAGCTGTCTCCCCCATCCCTCACTTCCATAGGTGTGTGCACGGGGTGTGTCGGGTGTGCATGGGCACACCCTAATCCCCGCAGCACGCCAATGGATTGAGACCGGCAGGGAAGATCTCTGGATCTTCCCGGCCGGCTCATGCAGAGCCAACGCTATCCGAGAGGCGGCTCTGGTCTAAGCCTCCATGGGCCGGTGGGGAGATCAAAGTTCTACCTCACCAGTCCACAGCAGCATGGAGGGAGGCAGCAGAGAACCCGGGCTAGAGTTCACTCTCCACTGAACCACCAGGGAAGGCAGCAGGACTGGGATATTAACTAATCTGCCCCCACCTCCACCCAAACATACAGCACACACACACACAGCACCTACACACAGAACACACAGCCCACAAACAGCACCCACACACATACATCACCCTCGCACACACAGCACCCATACACACCCAGCACACTAACAGCATCCTCACAAACACACAAAACCCACACACAACACCTGCACAACACCCACACACAAACAGCACACTCACACACAAACAGCACCCTGACAAAACACACACACACACACACAGCACACTAACAGGACCCGAACAAACACGCACACACAAACACCCTCACACACAGCACACTACCAGTTCCCTCACACACAGCATACTAACAGCACTCTCACAAACACACACAAAAACACCCTCACCCACATAGCACACTACCAGCACCCTCACACAGCAGTGTGTATATATAAACAAAACAAAGAGGACTGCACTCACCTAAACATGCATACATTATAGGGTGCTGCTGGGGCCAAAATATAAAATATACAGAATCCAGCGCACTCGCTTATTCACTAAACAATGCTTTCAAAATCTTAGAGATTGTAATAGTTTTATTTAAAAACACCTCACCTAGGCATAAAATAATGGGGGTTTAGTTACAGTATATGATCATATATTGCATAAGCCTGCCACAACGTCAATGTACCCAATTCTTGGCAGGTCATACTCTAGCAGCCTAATGCTTGCCCTTATGAGATTGATCCACTTACTTGGGAAATACTTCCTTACTGGGGCTCTCTGCAGGTCAAGGCTAAATAGGGTCCTGGAATGAGGCACCTGTGACAGGGAGGGGTGCAAAACCAAGGAGCTGGCCTAGACTCCCAAATATACAAACAAAACCAAGAGGGCTGCACTCACCTGAACATGCATACATTATAGGGTGCTGCTGGGGCCAAAATATAAAAAATACAGAAGTTAGCCTTGACTTGCAGAGAGTCCCAGTAAGGAAGTATTTCCCAAGTAAGTGGATCAATCTCATAAGGGCAAGCATTAGGCTGCTAGAGTAGGACCTGCCAAGAATGGGGTACATTGTGGCAGGCTTATGCAATATATGATCATATACTATATATATATATATATACACACACACACACATACATATACACATGGCGTGTGTATGTGCTTTAGGGTGCACACCCTAACGCAATAGGCTGCGCACGCCTATGCTCACTCCCCTAATCTATAGGCTGCCCCAAATCTATAGGCTGCCCAAATCTATAGGCTGCTGTGCCCCAAATCTATAGGCTGCTGTCACCCCCCAAATCTATGAGCTGCTGTCACCCCCCCCAATCTATAGACACTGTCACCCCCAAACCTATAGACTGCTGTCACCCAAATCCTATGAGCTGCTGCCCGTCTATAGGCTACTGCTACAAAATCCTATAGACTGCTGTCACCCAAATCTACAGGCTGCTGTCACTTTAAATCTATAGGCTGCTGTCACCCAAATCCCTATAGGCTGCTGTCCCCCAATCCTATAGGCTACTGCCCAAATCTATAGGCTGCTGCCCCCCATAATCTATAGGCTGCTGCCCCCCCTAATCTATAGGCTGCTGCCCCCCTAATCTATAGGCTATCTCAAACCCCCCCCCCATCCCCACTTACCTGATCTGTAGGCTGTCTCTGGCTGCATGTGTTGCTCCCCTGCGGTTTCAATCAGCAGAGAGAAGCAGGGATAAGATGCAGCTTCCTATCCCTGTCTCTCTCCATACACAGCGCCACCTACTGGCCGGCGCCGGTATTGCAGTTCATTTTAAATCACACGAAAAATAGCAGAACAAGCTGAAAAATCCAGGGGGGGGCAAGTGCCCCCCCTTACCCCCCCCTGCGGACACCCATGGCAGTGCCCCAAATTTGCTGTGATCTGTGAGTAAGGTTACAGCTTTTTGAGGGCCCACACCACCGCCAGGCACTCCTTTTCAATGGCAGTGTATCTACTTCCCTGGGAAAAAGTTTCCGGCTTAGATAAGCCCCGGGTTGCTCGCCGCCATCTGCTCTGACTTGGCTCAGTACTGCTCCAAATCCAAACATAGAAGCGTCTGTATGGACGAAAAAGCGTTTAGTTGGATCAGGAGCAGAAAGTACAGGTGATTTAATGAGCGCCGTCTTGAGCTGTTGGAAGGCCTGTTCACACTCTGGGGCCCATACTACTATCTTGGGGAGGTTTTTACGCGTTCCTATATGGCACTTACTGGGCTTTAGGGTCAGTCCGGCCTCCCTAATCTGGTCTAGTACGGCTCCTATGTGGGTCAGGTGTTAGGGCCAGGAGCAGCTAAAAATGGCTATATCATCCAAGTAGGCGCAGGCATACTCCTGAAACCCATCCAGAAGCCGATCTACCATCCTCTGAAAGTTAGCCGGGGCATTCTTCATCCCGAATGGCATGGCCTTAAACTGATACAGGCCAAACGAGGTGACAAATGCCGACTTGTGGATGGCGTTCTCGGATAATGGAATTTGCCAGTACCCCTTGCACAGATCTATTGTGGTGAGGTACTGGCCTCTGGCCATTTTGTCTAGGAGCTCGTCTATCCGGGGCATAGGGTAGGCGTCTGAGGTTGTTTTATCGTTTAGCCTCCGATAGTCTACACAGAAACGGGTCGTGTCATCCCGTTTCGGTACTAGTACTACCGGGGAGGCCCAGGGGCTGTCAGAGTGTTCTATCACCCCAAACTGCATCATTTCCTCAATTTCTTTCTGAATATTTTCTTTAACTGCTTCGGGTATGCGATAGGCGGTTTGGCGAAGGGGGGGTCTCGTCTAGGGTTTCAACTTTGTGAGTGGTTAACGGACTGTACCCAGGTAGGTTGGAAAACCTGGTCCCCTTGTCCTGGATTAGTCTTTGGACCTGGGTTTTCTAACCTGGGGGTCTAACTGTACTTCTCCCAGGTCTCCGCTCTGGCCCTCTAGGTCTAGGAGATCTGGGAGTGGCAAATTATCATAATCTTCAGTGGCAGGTGCACAGATCGCGGTTACCTCTTCGTGCGCTATGGCTTGAGCATGTTCACATGGAGCATGCGCTTGCCTCCCGTGCCTGTGACCGCACCGATCACAAAGGTGGTATCACAAACCTGCTCTACCACCTTGTATGGGCCCTGCCAGGAAGCCTGCAGCTTGTCCTTGTGGACAGTGTCAATCCATATCTGCCAAGTGACCCTATGTAGGGGGAACAGTCTCTATTCTGCTCTGTGTCAGTGTGTATCATGGTCTCTGAGGACAGGTGTCAATCCATATCTGCCAAGTGACCCTATGTAGGAGAACAGTCTCTATTCTGCTCTGTGTCAGTGTGTATGATGGTCTCTGAGGACAGGTGTCAATCCATATCTGCCAAGTGACCCTATGTAGGAGGAACAGTCTCTATTCTGCTCTGTGTCAGTGTGTATCATGGTCTCTGAGGACAGGTGTCAATCCATATCTGCCAAGTGACCCTATGTAGGGGGAACAGTCCCTATTCTGCTCTGTGTCAGTGTGTATCAGGGATCCTGAGGACAGGTGTCAATCCATATCTGCCAAGTGACCCTATGTAGGGGGAACAGTCCCTATTCTGCTCTGTGTCAGTGTGTATCAGGGATCCTGAGGATAGGTGTCAATCCATATCTGCCAAGTGACCCTATGTAGGGGGAACAGTCCCTATTCTGCTCTGTGTCAGTGTGTATCAGGGATCGTTAGGATAGGTGTCAATCCATATCTGCCAAGTGACCCTATGTAGGGGGAACAGTCCCTATTCTGCTCTGTGTCAGTGTGTATCAGGGGCTCTGAGGACAGGTGCCAATCCATATCTGCCAAGTGACCCTATGTAGGGGGAACAGTCTCTATTCTGCTCTCTGTCAGTGTGTATCATGGTCTTTGAGGACAGGTGTCAATCCATATCTGCCAAGTGACCCTATGTAGGGGGAACAGTCTCTATTCTGCTCTGTGTCAGTGTGTATCATGGTCTCTGAGGACAGGTGTCAATCCATATCTGCCAAGTGACCCTATGTAGGAGGAACAGTCCCTATTCTGCTCTGTGTCAGTGTGTATCAGGGATCCTTAGGACAGGTGTCAATCCATATCTGCCAAGTGACCCTATGTAGGGGGAACAGTCTCTATTCTGCTCTGTGTCAGTGTGTATCATGGTCTCTGAGGACAGGTGTCAATCCATATCTGCCAAGTGACCCTATGTAGGGGGAACAGTCTCTATTCTGCTCTGTGTCAGTGTGTATCATGGTCTCTGAGGACAGGTGTCAATCCATATCTGCCAAGTGACCCTATGTAGGGGTAACAGTCTCTATTCTGCTCTGTGTCAGTGTGTATCATGGTCTCTGCGGACAGGTGTCAATCCATATCTGCCAAGTGACCCTATGTAGGGGGAACAGTCTCTATTCTGCTCTGTGTCAGTGTGTATCAGGGGCTTTGAGGACAGGTGTCGATCCATATCTGCCAAGTGACCCTATGTAGGGGGAACAGTCTCTATTCTGCTCTGTGTCAGTGTGTATCATGGTCTCTGAGGACAGGTGTCATTCCATATCTGCCAAGTGACCCTATGTAGGAGGAACAGTCCCTATTCTGCTCTGTGTCAGTGTGAATCAGGGATCCTTAGGACAGGTGTCAATCCATATCTGCCAAGTGACCCTATGTAGGGGGAACAGTCTCTATTCTGTTCTGAGTCAGTGTGTATCATGGTCTCTGAGGACAGGTGTCAATCCATACCTGCCAAGTGACCCTATGTAGGGGGAACAGTCTCTATTCTGCTCTTTGTCAGTGTGTATCAGGGATCCTTAGGATAGGTGTCAATCCGTATCTGCCAAGTGACCCTATGTAGGGGGACCAGTCCCTATTCTGCTCTGTGTCCGTGTGCATCAGGGGCTCGTTAAAATTGACAGTTGTAATCCATATGTATTTAACTAATAGACCATTGAAAGTATAATTGCAACATAAATGAAAGTTAGCCATATATTTAATGAATGTTACCAATCAATATTGAACAAAGCCACAAGGTGGCGACATTTAGCCATCCATACTGAATAACTGGCATGCTAACAGTTGAAACAAGCCAACAAACAACATGAGGGGAACAGTGCTATGAATGAAATAGCCGAATGCAGCCCGGAATAGGAAGATGCCATGCCCGCACGTAAGGTTAGGGGGTAACAATTGAACTGTTTAATTGGTAAAACAAAGCCGGTACGTGGAGATTATCACAGGGGATCCCTTTATACTCTGTGCACCCTGTGAGTAGGTGGGGGTGCCAATGTGTATATAGCGCGTTGCCAGGGTTCCCTTTTTAATGTTATACGTGGCATGTTTGATGCGCCCATGATATGACTCACTGTTCACCCGGGGGAGACCGTCTCATGGAGCGGCTAGGCACCTGATAATGGCCGGATCTCGATTTAGAGTTAATTTCTCTCTCTCACTGCCACTGCCGCGTCCGGATCACGTGAACCGGAAGTAGATCAAAGCACTTCCGGAAATGTTGATGACAGGTACGCTGGGCTTACTGTGCTTTTTATAGGGAATGATGTACCTCCCACAATTACAGGCCAAGCCTTTTATATATTATATAAATACATTTCTATTTTAATTTTACACATGTCTAATTTTTTATTTTTTTTATACTTCCCACCAGCAGCGGGACTGTCTGACATTTCATACAGTCCCCATGCTGGCAGATCCACAGCCAGCTATAGGGGGCCATGTGATCGCTCTTTGAGAGCGATCACATGGCTCCCGGGGGTTTCTTTTGCCGTGGGAGTACCGCCGAGCTCCTGGGGGTGAAAGCCATTCCGGCGTTCTATGCCGCCGCAACGGCTTTAAAGCCCATTTAATGCGGGACGGCATAGAACGCCGTAACGGCGTTAAGGGGTTAATCTGCTATTTTAGTGCCCAGTCCCCCAATCTATCTAAATCTCTCTGCAGCAAAGCAATATCCTGCTCACATTTTGTTACTTTACAAAGTTTTGTGTAATCTGCAAACAGTAATAGACAAAAAAAACTATAGAAGAAAAACATGCACACTATATACAAATTCATACAATATACATATAAATACAACCAAATGCCCAAATATATGTACATGCACACCTACACATATATCCACACACAATCACCAATGCATGTACCTACACATATACCAATGTGACTACACATACAGAGACCCACATATATGTATATGTACACATTCAACTGTTCACATAGTCATACATATATGGATGTATATATACACTTTATACACACACACACACACACACACACACACACACAAATACATACATGTATACACATACACATAAATACATGAACACATATACATACACACAAACACATATACACAATGCATATATGCACATGAACTCATATACACAAATATAAATGCACAGTCACGTATATAAGCTTATAATAATGCTGGGGGAGTGTTCATGTAAAGTGTTGGTAGTGGGACAGGGACCCAAATCAATATTTAATAGTCTATTTTTGCTGTTAAACAATCTGATCATTCTGGCTTCAAAAGTATTTCTTTCTTTCTATATATATATATATATATATATATATATATATAGTATGTACTTGCGTATAGTGTGTATGGTCTTGTCTATACTTGTGTATATTGTGAGCATAAAAGTGGAATTGTGATTGATGGAAGATACATCAGGCCTGATTTGTTAAACAGCAACCTGAGCATTTTCAGTTAAATGCCCCAGGGAGAGATGTTAGAGTTTGCAATCTACATTGCTGAGGTTCTGCAAAACATGATATGGGTCCCTGGGGCGGAGTATTTGGAGAGCAGGGTGGGCCAATGCTCCAACAGCACTAGTTGCTGTGTAACAGACCACACTTTAGGTCTGACTTAGGAGTTAACTAATTGGCACTCACCTGTGGCTAGTCAATTAGCAGACAGGCCTTTAAAAGAAGAGGACAGCCTGCTGCAGAGTGAGGGAGGAAAAGATAGTTAGGAGAGATTGTGTTTATTGCAAAGACATTTCTTTTGTTTGGAAAATTGGTAAGTGGGAAAGCCACCCAATTGCAGATAGCAATTACTGTCTAGTAAGAGCTCAAGTAAGAGCAAGGGATTTTGTTTGTTTTTGTTATTATTTAAAGCACCTGTTTTCTTACTGAATAAAAAGGAAAACCGAGCTGAATGTGTCCTGGACTTTGTATACCCTAGAAGGCTGTGGTTACTGCAAGATATGTGACAATCCTACCTGTAAAAGAGGTGGTTTGTTACATATGGTGGAGAATGCGGGCAGCCACGTAAGCCTGAGGGTAGAAGTCATTTAAAACTCAACATGGAGGATGTTATCAAGGCTTCGATCCAATCCACCTCTGTGCAACAGGAGGCTAACAGGAGAGCTGCAGAAAACAGTGCAGCCCTGCGTCGCTGGGTCAGCCAAAGTGACCCCCACACAGCTGACCAACTAATTGCCTTGGTGGAAAGATATGTGGCTGCAGGAGAACTGCTACGTCCTACTTCACAGGAAAACCCCCGCAATCCTAAGCCCCAAGATTCTGCAAGACCTGGTAAGACTGTTCAAGGTTTAAGGGGAGCTGAAGAGCTGCAGCTCTATACACAAAACACCAGGGGGGCATCCAGGTCTAATAGGCCTGGGAAAGGAACTAATTGGTGGTCAGATTTTACTGTCAAATGTTTCAAGTGCAAAGAGGATGGTCATATGGCCAAAGACTGTCCATTGAAGGATGAACCTATGGAATGCAAAGATGAGGGAGCACGTTTATTTTTGCTCAACTGTTATGGTACTGTTAACAATGACTATGATAATAACCCTCATAAATGCTGTGTAACTGTGAATGGAAAAATGTCTAAAGCATTACTTGATTCGGGTAGTATGGTTACGTTGGTAGCAGAGTCTGTAATACCTTGTGTAAAACCTGATCATGTACAGAAAATAGGCATTATCTGTGTTCATGGTGATAAAAAGGAATACCCCACTGCGGAAGTAAATATTGGAACCCAGTATGGGGATTTAAAGTACCGAGTGGGTGTAGTACCTAGATTAGCCCATGAGGTAGTGATCGGTAGAGACTTTCCTCATTTTCTAGAATTATGGGGAGCTGTACAAAAGAGGGACCAAAATTTATCAGAAATTAGTCAATCGGCCGAGGATAATGTGTTTCCTTTTTCCGATATTGACTTATGTTTTGACCACTGTGACGGAAAAAGGAGAAAATACTGCCCTAAACCAGTATTAATAGGAGATAACCCAGCTCAAACTAGTGAAGAGCCTACCAATACTGCAGACAAGGATAAGGACTTAATTGATATTGGAATCAGTCCAGGTAATTTTAAAAGTGCTCAGTGGGAAGATCCCACTTTAGTGACAGCTAGAAATGATATTAAAGTTGTAAATGGGGTTGCTAATCAACCAGGAGAAGCCCTACCGTTCCCCTATTTTGAAGTACAAAATGACCTAATTTACCGTGTAGAAAAAAGGGATTTAGATATCATTAAGCAGCTGTTGGTTCCTCAGACTTAACAAAATATAGTACTAAAGTTGGCTCACAGCCACATATTAGGGGGACACTTGGGAGTCAAAAAAACTAGAGAGAGAGTCCTTAGAAGGTTTTACTGGCCTGGAGTGTTTGCTGCTATTACAAATTATTGCTCCTCATGTCCTGGGTGCCAGTACAGGGCTCCTTTCAAGACTTTTCGTAGTCCACTTGTACCCTTACCCATAATTGATGTGCCTTTTGAAAGGATCGCTATGGACTTAGTGGGGCCACTGGTAAAGTCTGCTAGGGGACACTAATATATATTAGTCATCTTGGACTATGCAACTCGCTACCCAGAGGCCATTCCCTTGCGTAATACCTCTGCAAAGTTAATAGCTAAGGAACTTATGTTGATGTTCAGTAGGGTGGGTATCCCTAAAGAAATCCTGACAGACCAGGGAACCCCGTTCATGTCCAGAGTCACAAAAGAGTTGTGCAGGTTCTTGCAGGTTAAACATCTTAAGACCTCAGTATATCACACACAGACTGATGGTTTAGTAGAGCGGTTCAACAAAACCCTTAAGAGTATGCTACGCAAGGTAATTGATGCAGATGGAAGAAATTGGGATTTTTTTATTGGCATATCT